CACTTCTCTACTCCTCATTCCTGTTTTTAACAGGCATTTACTGGTTTCTAAAAATAATTTATTTTAAATTTATAATGTTGTGGTTCCCAAATATATGTAGAATGCATGCTCTTTGCCCAAATCACCTGTCTGAAAATAGAAAGATATTTTTAGAGTCTCAGGCATTCTTTGATTTACTTATAACATATTTATTGATTGCCTAAGAAGGATAAGGTACAGCTTGCATGTTCACACCCGCCTTCAAAGGACTCGGCCTGGGATGGAAAATGGTCCACAGCAAACTGAAACCACAGACGAGGTTTTCAGCAATGGACGTTATGAGAGTCTGTGCATGTATCACAGAGAAAAATCAAACAGTCTTCTATCTTGCTTTCACTCACTCTCCCCTTTCTATCCCTTTCACCCCTCTATCTACCCATCGAGGCCCAATTCCCTCCACAATAACCCTGTCACTTGAACCCAGAGGGAGGTCAGGTGTACCGGGTGAGGCAGGATGGACACCTTCGGGGGATGTTTTATGGGTTTGGAAACCTCTCTGGAAACATGTTAGGATTTTCGAAGAACCCTCAGCATATTGTATCTACATAAAAGGTTACAAACCACAGCCCAGCCTAAGACTTTCTCCACTCTACCTGCAGCCTGTGTGGGCAGGAATTACTCTGGCAGAAATGATTTTCATGTTTGTTGGTTTGTTTTAAATGTGCCTCCCCCCCTCCCCCTGCTGTTTTCTTCTGGCATCCAGGTTCAAAGGCTTGATGTGGGTCTTTTCACTCAGAGGGATCCTGATGCAAGGTGGTGGGGGGGAGTGGTACGTGCACCTTCTGGCTGTTTTTCACCTGGGGTTCCTCTTTGCAGGGTGCAGCAATCATAGAAGGAGGCCACTCCCAGGGTCCTGTGGTTGGGAGCCAGGCCTGGGAGAAGCCAGGCACAGTGGGATCAAGGATGTCACTGCCTTTTCTTCACCCATAAGATGGTGACAGATCCAAGCTCAGATACAACTTCAGGGATGGGGAGGCTAAAATCTGATAAACTGAGATTAAACTTCCATTGCAAGAAAATGAAGATCTAAAGAAGAGATTCTGTTCTGGCAAAAGTTTTGATTCTTACATCACTGAACTGCAGACTTGGATTTCTACACCCTACACTTGCATGGAGGAAGCGTCATTCAATACACACACACACACACACACACACACACACACACACACACCAAGAAAAAATAGAAGGAAAACAATGAAAGGTAAAAGCAAAAGATCCCTCTGGTTTCCTTACTGAATGTATGTCCAGCTATAATGAAAAGAACGATGGACAGGAATTCCAAAGTGTTCATCCCCATTTCCTGTTGTGTGACCCTAGCAGGTCACAACCTTTCTTGAGACCTCCATCTCCTCACCTGCAAAAGGGCAACTTGGGAACTCTTCAGGGTTCCCTGCTCCCTTGAGATCTCAGGGTTTACAAAATTGCCTTTGCAACCACCTGGGACACAGCTGTGGGATCCAAGATGGCGTCTTCCCAGGGAAGATGACTTGTAATAGCAGAGGAACATTTGCTATATACCAGGCCTTAGTCTAACTGTGTAAGACAGGGATGGCATTTTACAGAAGAGGAAACAAACTTAGAAGCCTCAGTAATGTGCCTGAGTGAGTCAGGATTCAGACCTAGGCGGATGGTTACATGAGTCATGGCACAGGCACAGGCTGGGGCTGAAATTTAGAAACTGCCTTCCACATCATTCTTGTGGGTTTGGGGCCCTGACACCCTGCTTTTCTGCTCTCACTATAATCCTGATGGATGTATGCAGCAAGTGGAAGGGACTAAACAAGCATCCTTCAGTGTTTACCCCTGGAGGACATGTTATACCTCTGCGAGGTAAGATGTTCTAACAAAGAAACAGAAGTGAAGAAAAGAATGTGTGTTCTTTCTGGGTAAAGTATCGGTCTTTTAATTCTAATTTGTTAATCTTAAATCCTGACTGAAACTTAAAAATGCACTTGTAGGGCCTCCCTGGTGGCACAGGGGTTAAGGACAGCGCTATCAAGCTATCTTCAGCCCCTGCTGCACGAGTTTGATCCCCTGTGGCCAGTGAGCAACCCACAAAGCGCAGCATGGCAGACCTCTCCTGTTTAGCCCACTGCTCCCCTCAGCAGTATATTTCAGTAGATCTTCCTGTTCTGCTCCCCACTGTCTCTGGTGAATCCTCTCACCCCTCCCCACCCCACACACACACCTCTGGCTTACACCCCAGTTCTTATATGCATACATAAATAAATCTTAAAAAAAATGTGGGGGCCTCCCTGGTGGTGCAAGGGGTTAAGCACTGCACTATGAAGAAATCTGCAGCCTCTGCAATGTGAGTTCAATCCCCGGACGGCCAGGGAGCTATCCACAAGGTGTAGCAGACCTCTCCTGACTCGCCCGCTGCTCCCCTCAGCAGTGTATTTCAGTACATCTGCCTGTTCTGTTCCCCACTCTGTCTCTGGTGAATCCTCTCACGCCCCCCACACACCTCTGGCCTGTACCCCAGCTCTTATATGCATAAATAAATAAATCTTTTTAAAAAATAAAAATAAAAATGCACTTGCAATTTATTCTCTTTGAGTGTCAAGGTGGTCTCCTGTGTTTCTAAGCCTTCCTTCCAATTTTGTTTGCATACAATGCTTACAATGGAAATGTCTTGCAGGCAGGTAAGTGCCCTCCCAGGGTAACAGAAGACTACATGGGAGCAACTCTGTAGTCCTGAAAGCATTTATAGTTTGAGTCTTTAATTTAACTCTTAAATAGAGTATTAAGATACTCTGTGTAGTAAGGGCAGGTAGCAAGCCCTACCATTTAAATAAGTTCAAATATGAAAACACCACCCACGGGTGGCTCAAGTAATTATCTAAGACCTTTACAAAGAACCCGGATAAAAACACAAGACTAGGGTCAGGGATTTTACAGTCTCCTTGATGAAACACATTAAAAACAATATAATTTAAAACCATGCTATCGACTTTATTGGCTATAGTTCAGATTATGAAGTCATGGTACTGTTGAGAAAAAACAGCCACCAGATTCTCTTTGCTATGGGTCAATGGGGCCAGAATGGGGAGATAGAATAAATCATAACAAAAGGTCACTTCTTCATTTTCCACTTTCAGACTGACAAAAGTATATTCAGTTCGATGTTGGTTTTGGCTAAAGCAAATGCCTCTTCGGTAAAATTAATGTTAGGGGAATTATATGTAGGCTTCAATACCAAGAGCAGTCACAAGGAGGTAAAAGGTATGAAGAGAAATCCACCCGGACAATTTAGGCAGTTTTCAGTGTGTGGAACTCGAAGCTGTATGTGGTAGGCACTTGTGTTTCTTGCTTAGAGGACAGGCATCTTGCATTTCCAATTTGAAACAAAGGTATAATGCTAAGCACACAACAGGCATTTAACAAATACTCTTGTACTAAATTCTGTACTATACACCTGAATAAACAGCCCTTGACTGTTCCTCTTACCTCTGTACTCTCCTAACTGTTTATATTCCTCCATTTGAAACTGCAGATATGTCACAGAAACATAAGAAAGATGTCAGACACTAGAGCTTAATAATTTTGGCCTCCTCGCCAAGAAAAAATGTGCAAATGGCCCACATATGGTACCTCCTGATCCAAGCCTAAGGCCTACTACTCCGGACCCAACGTTCTCCAATACAACTATCAACCTCTGCCACAGAGGTAGAGAGTATTATTGTCTGTTGCCTTTTTGGCTCAAGGCCCTCTACACTGGCTTAACTTGTTCCTCTTGCTTCCTCTAAAGTTTAAACTATCTTCCTTCTTCCTGATATGATTCCCTTTGGAGTTTTTTCAAGGAATGTAAGCTGGTGAGTTCCTTCTTGCTAAGCATGCTGTTAACCCGCATCTGTATGCACTGGCCCCTCTACTAGATTCACTGTCAACAGAGCAATAATAATATATTCCAGATGTCAGAAGTTCCTGTCTTCTGGATCCTGCATCCAAGGAGTTAATATGTTTTAAATCATATGTTAAATTTAACACTGCATTCAAATTCTCTTTAAGATAACTGGAATGAATCTACTTTTTAAAAATTACTGGTGAGATGCATAGGCAATAGATGACATTTAAGAGACTGAGGGAGAGGTTTATTTCACATTCTCCAAAGTCCCAAAGTATCCCCTACTGGATCATCTTCTTTCCCAAAGTCCTGTCTGTTTTGAGACCTCATCCCTGATTCTTCTTCTGGAATCCCTACCCTCACCTAAGGAAATTGAGTCCCTTCACTCTTATATAGATTAGTTTTTCAGTCCCTCTGAAGTCTGGGTGCTCACCCTGGCTCACCCAAGTGAAATCCTCAAAACATCCATTTGAGAAAGTTGTCTGCCTTACAAACAGTCTCATAAAATCATCCTGGAAATTGGTTGAGAAAATTCCCTTTTATTACTAGTTTGTTGAGTGCTTTGTCATGAAAACATGTTGGATATTGTCAAATGTCTTTGTGGCTATTGAAATAATTAGGTTTTGTCCTTTATCCTATTAAAATGGCATACTACAATCACAATGGATTTTCATATGTTCAGCCAACACTGCATTCCTGGGATAAATCCTATATGGTGGAGATTACAACTAACACCTTAATTTACGACAACATAGTTTAGAGTAATACCAAGTCAACAGTACTTGATGCTTCAATAGTATGCAAAAACTTTGCTCTTATTTAGCTATTTTCCAGTCTCCCTCCTTTACACTGTTATTGTCATACAAAAGCATTTTATATAGTTCGTGTATCTCAATACAGATTTGTAATTTTGACTTTATGTAGACATCGCCAATCAAATGGGAAAGGAAAAAAAGAGTTCATATCAAAAAGTACGTTTATATTGTCTTTTATTATCTATGCAGTTACCTTTACTAATTTAGATGATGTCTAGTGTCTTCATTTCATCCTGAGGGACTCTATGCCATAATTCTAGTAGGGCAAATCTGTCAGTGACACATTCTTTCAGATTTTTTTTTAATTCCACTCTTGCCTTAATTTCTTCATTTTTAAATGAATATTTTGCTGGATGTAGAATTCTTAGTTGGTAGTTATTTTCATTTTAGCACTTTTTATATGTCATTCCGCTACCTTCTGGTTTCCACAGTTCCTGAGGAGAAATCAGTTATTAATCTTATTGAGAATGACTTGTGTGTGATAAGGTTCTTCTCTCTCAAGAATTTAAAGTTTTCAGGCCTCCCCAGTGGTGCAGCCGTTGAGCGCTGTGTTGCCAAGCTGCCCGCAGCCTCTGTAAGCGCCGGTTCGATCCCCAGCTGCTCCCCAGCCACCGGAGGAGGGTCCCACATGGCGCACAGACCTCTCCTGCCGCACCCACTGCTCCCCTCAGCAGTGTACTTCGGTCCTTCTGCCTGCTCTGCTCCCCGCTCTGGCTCTGGTGAATTCTCTCACCCTCCCGCGCTTCTGATTGTACCCAGTGCTTGTATAGATAAATAAGTAAATCTTTAAAAAAAAAAATTAAAAATAATAAAAAAAAGAATTTAAAGTTTTCATGATTCTCTTTTTGTCTTTTGATATTTTGATAATGATGTATCTAGGTGTGGATGTCTCTAGTGTATCATACTTGGAGTCCAGCTTCTTGGATGTGTAATTTAATGTTTTTCATAAAATTTGAGAGGTTTATAGGCATTCTTTCTTCAGCTTTTTTTTTTTTTTTTTTGGTTCCTTTCCTTTTTTCTACTTCCCTATTCTGTATATGTTGGTATGCTTTCGGGTGGCCCATAGTTTTCTGAGGCTTTTCATTATTTTTTCTTTCTGTTTCTCAATTTGGGATAATCTCAACTGACCTCTCTTCAAGTTTGCTGATTCTTTCTTCCACCCGATCACATCTACTTTTTTGCTATTCTAGTCAATTTTCCATTTCATTTATTGTATTTTTCAACTTCAGAATTTCCATTTGGTTCTTTTTACAATTTCTCCTTATTCTCTAGTAAATGATACATCATTCTTATACTTCCCTTCAGTTCCTTAGACTTGGTTTCCTTCAGCTCTTTGAACTAAATTTAGAGATTTTTCTAATAAGTCCTGTGTCTGGGTTTTCTTGGAGACAGTTTCCATTAGCTACTTTTTTCCCTTTGTACAAACCATACTTTCTTATTTATTTACATGTCTTATTTGTTTGTTGAAAACTAGATCTTTTAAATAACATGTGGCAATTCTGGAAATCAGACTCTTGCTTTCACTCCCCAGGTTTGTTGTTATTTGTTTAGTGATTTTTTTGATGCAATTTTGTAAAGTTTGCATACTTTATCTTGTGTAGCTACTAAAGACTCCACTTGATTAGTTTAATGGTCAACTAATGATTGGACAGAGATTTTCTTAAAGGTCTAGAACAAATAAGTCTGCTGGTCTTTGGTGAGGTGAGCATTTTGGGGCCCCTTTACCACTCAGACAAGCAGCCAACATCTCTCCTTTAGCCTCCAATTTGTGCAGAATCTTGGTGAAGCCAGAGTGACATCCTAAGACCTAATGGTTTCTGTCTACATATGCACACCACACAGGTCTGTGAAAAGCCTTACTTATTCATGCTCATGGACTTCTAGATTCCCCAGAATAGAATATGTTAGAGCTTTGCAAATCTCATAGGTATAGCATATTCCCCAGTTTTTACTTTAAGCTCCTTGGTTAGCTTATCTTTTGCTTTGTTATCCAATGCCTCAAACTTCTATAAAGTTAAACAATTGCCTCTAAATGTTTTTTAACAATGGACTAGAGGAAATGATTTTTCACACTGGGCAAACTCTAAATCAGATTAAATAAGGACAGACTTGCAAGTGGCATTTTTTCAGAGAAACACCAGACTGGTTTTCTCCATAATTGTAAGTTATTGATTCAAAGCTACCTTGGAACTGGAGAGAGGGTGATGGGCATAAGGCAAGCTAAAATGCCACAAACTCATTGTTCTTAGTGGCATTTTAAAATGTAATATTTCAAACATGTGAAAATGAACCTACTCAACAGTTGCCAACATTTGCCTAAGTTTCATATCGCCCTTATATCAATGTCACCACCTACTTTACTACATATATTATCTTGAAGCAAATTTCAACCCTTCAGTGATTTTGTTTGTAGAACATTCAGTGAATATCTCCAGGAGATAAGGGTTCTATTAGTTTTGTGATAGCTTTGTAAGAGTAATTACCACATAATAAACTGTATATAATTAAAGTGTATATTTGAGAAGGCTTGACAAATGTATACACCTCTAACACCATCATCACAATTAAGATGATGATCCTATACAAAACCTCCAAAAGTTTTCTTCTGTCCCTTTTTAGTTCCTTCCTCCAGCTCTCCAGCCCCCTCCTCCAATAGGCAATTACAGATCCACTTTCTGGCACTATAAATTAGATGCATTTTCTGGAATTTTATGTAATTGGAATCGTATAATGTATACTTTTTTGCCTGTCTTTTCTTATTCATGATATTTATTTTGCGGTTCCATTATGTTTTTATTTATAGCAATAGTTCCTTTTGTTTTATTGTTGAGTAGCATTCCATTTGTGTGGATACATCACAATTTGCTAACCCAGTCCTCTGCTGGATTCATTTGGGTTGTTTTTGACAATTTCAAATAAAGCTGTTATGAACATTTGGGTGCAAGTCTTTGTGTGAATGTATGTTTTCATTTTTTAGTAGGGTGTAAATAACCAGGGGTGGAATGGCTGAGTCATATGGTAGATATATTTTTAAAAAACTGATAATATCCTCTTCAGTGTGGTCATACTATTTTCCATTCCTACCAGCAGTTCCTGTTGTTTCACGTCCTTCGAACACTTGGTATGGTCAGTCTTTTTCATTTTATCCACTCTAGTGGGTGTTTAGTGGTATCTCATTGTGGTTGTAGTTTGCATTTCTCTAATGACTACGTATGGTGAGGTTCTTTTCATGTTCTTATTTGCTACCCCAATACATTCTTCGGTGAAACATCTGTTTAGATCTTTTGTCCATTTAAGCAATTGTGTTATTTGTCTTCTTGTAAATAACTTCTTTATAAATACAAGGCTGTAAGTCTTTGTATTATATATGTGTTTTGCAAATATTTTATCTCAGTCTGTGGCTTTCCTTTTCATTCTCCTAAGTGTTTTTTGAAGAGCAGACATTTGGTTTTTGTTTTGATGAGACCCAGTGAATAGATTATTTCTTTTATGATCTGTATTTATCTGTATTTGATTGGTGCCAAAGCCAAGGTCACTAACATTTTCTTCTGTTTTCATCTAGGAGTTAGCGCTTACATTTATGTCTATGATCTGTTTTGAATTAACTTTTTATATAGTGCAAAGTAAGAATTAGGTTTCTTTTACTTTTTTTTTTTTAATATGGCTGCTCATTTTTTCCTGCACCATTTATTGAAGATTATGCTTTCTACAGTGAATTTCCTTGGAGATTTGTCAAAAATAGATTTCTACATAAATAGTAATCTGGACTGCTTCTGGACTCCCAATTCTGCTTCATTGATCTATACATCTATCTTGATACCAGTCCCACTGCTTAAGATGGCTTTGTCATAAACAATAGCAAATTTAAGTAAATTATAAAGCCTTATAATAAAGTTTTGAAGAAAAATGCAATCATCTTGGCATTACCCAAAGTGCCTGTCCCTCATCCTGGAGGTCTTTTTGTCCCTTTAGGAAGCTGAGGTCCTTTCTTACCCTGAAGCAGAAGAGAAAGATGCAGTGAGTGTGGCCCAGATAACCTGGCAAGACCAGTTATGCTCATTCTTTAGAGGGAGAGGCTAGAGGTGATGAAAAGTGATCTATAAAAAGCACCAAGTAGGTAGGTATCATTGACTTTACACAAAGAATACTAGGAGAACAGCAAAATAGTGGCTTGTGCTAACCAGCTCACCTGCAGGTTCAGCCAAGGTTGTGTCCACAAGCTACAGAACACCCAAATGCTCCCCTTTTGATCTCTGTCGCTCTATTATAAAAATAGTTCCTGCCATGGTTTTAGGTGTTAGATGAAAGGACACATTCAAATTCTATTAAAGGAAAAATTTCAGCCTCTGGCAAGGGATTTCTCACAGGGTTCATATGAGAGGCTGTGACTGGTTGGTGGGGCAGGTATGCAGTGGGAATTGAGGACAGTGAGTCTGGAAACCATGATGATGGACTTCAGGAAGGCCTCTGGAGGACCCCAAGCACCCATAATCACAGGGCAAGCAGAAGAACCCCAAAAGATGGGAGGCCACAGTTAGCTCTATGGCCCAACTTCCTGTTGGAAAAACTAGACAGAGGGAGGATGCATCTGGGAAGACACTGGAACAATGTGTGGACCGACAGGTGGGCACTGCTTAGCTCAGCCAACACCTGAGAAATTCTGGCCGAAGGTCTGTTTGATTTCCAAGACCTAGGCCATTACTGCAGTGTTGGGGCAGAGCAGAGTGCTGCCCCATGCCACTGTGGAACCACCCCCATGCTTGGAGTCCCCAAGAGAGATCATCATGACCAAGAGGCCCAGCGCCAAGACTTGGGCTTGGCCTGAACAATTTCGGAGACGGAAGCAACAGGACAATCCTGTAGCACTTGGCGACTGCTAGAAGAAGGAACACATTGGGTCCAACTTCCTCAACCATCTCTGTCAACAATGGAATTTTCACAATTTTTTCAAAGATAGATTATGTTTTCTTGTTTTCTTTTAGCTAAAATTACCCTTCATAAAGTTTCATGTGAAGCTGTAAAGAGTTAATATTTCTTTACTTTGAGTGAAATTTACAAAAATAATGATTTAAATATATCCACCAAACTCACACTGCTAAGTAGGGACAGGCTTTGGGGTGTGCATTTGTATTTCAGGGGCTACCCTCTGCCAGGATGATCCCAAACCCCCATACCTTTAGGAACAACTGCTGCCTACTGTGCTGACTTTTGAAGATTCACAGCATGCATCAAAGGTTTCAAAGCCCAGGAAAGGAGGCTCAATCTCATTAGCCATGAGGGAAATGCATATCCAAACCACTTCACACCCACTAGGAAAACAATATAAAATAGAGGGTCAATAAGGAACATTGGTAAATGCTATAGAGAAATGAGAACGGTCAGTTACATTGCTGGTGGGAATGTAGAACAGTGCAGCAACTTTGGAAAACAGCTTTGTAGTTCCTCAAAGTTAAATGCAGAATTGAAAACATGTTCACACAAAACATGTTAATAAATGTTTATAGCAGCATTATTCAGAGTAGTCAAAGAGTAGAAACAATTCAAACATCCATCCACTGATGAACAGGTAAACAAAATGAGGCATGTTCCTTTAACAGAATCCTACTGCTCAGTAAGAAGGATTGATGTACTGACACATGCTACACGTGCATGAAAGCTGGCTATAACCCAGAAGGTCACGTATGGTATGATTTCACTTATGTGGCAGATAGTGAGAATAAGCAAACCTATATAGACAGAAAGTAGATTTGTGTTTGCCTAAGTTGGGGGAAGGGTATGTATGTATGGGGAGTCATCACCAATGGCCACAGGGTTTCTTTTTGGAGTGATGAAAATGTTCTGCAGTAACAACTTAGAGATGACCGCACAACTCTGCAAATATACCAAAAGCTAATGAACTGGTCAACTTCCTGACATAGAAATGCTATTCCAACAAAGCTTTTTAAAAAAAGAAGAAAAAGAAGAAGAGGGAAATCCTGTGCTAAAGAAGCCAGACTAATCTGATCCTGAATTCATCTGACCACCAAAATGTTTTCTCTTTTTCTTTCTACATTGACACCTTGAGAAATTGGCATCCTGAAGAATTTGCTTTAGGAAAAATTGCTTTGAGAAAACAGGAATTTGGAAAAAGGATCTTTGCTTCTGTGAACACATCTTTGGCACATCATTTTCTAAAAATCTTAGGATGCCTGCTGCCATCCACAGTGTAGTGCGTGTAGTAAGCCCTAGGGCTTACCATAAAAATCCAAGTGGGACTGTACATCACTAATGAGTAAATTCAAGTGTTCAGCAAAGTTGAGAATATTTATTCACAGCCTCCAAGTGCCAAGGACAGTCCTGGATGCAAGGGATATAAGAGGAAGGCAGATGTGTTCCTGCCAGAAGCTTCCTATCCAGTAGCTGCAGGAGCCACAGGTGGACATTCTTCTCTCTGGGGGTTGGCGGAGGGCACAAAGTAAGTTCTAAGTCATCCCTAGGCTACATTTTTCATACAGCCAAAACTTTTGAGAACTTGAGTGGAGGTGCCACATTTGAAACCCACTCCCTTGCTGTTGAAAATTCCACACAGCCAGTGTTTTCCCCAGCACTGGGAAATGTGCTTTCTCTTTGGCCTGACACCAGTCTTGAATACTATTTAGGATTTTGTTGCTCTTAGTCAAGTTTGCTGTTGCAAAGCTAGGCGCTCCCGGCCTGAGCAGTGAGCAGGAGGGCAAGGTGCAGACTAACTGAGGGTGGCACTCTGCATGAATTCACTCCTATTCTCAGTCTACTCCTGGGTAAAACTAGAATGGCACACAGAATTCTGGCACTGTCCAAAAAAATTTTCCTCTTCATTAAAAAAAAAAAATTTGCTTTGCTTAAGAGACGGTATGAACTTGCAAAGTGACTCCCCTATGCTGGAGGCTCAGGAGAAGGGACCAACACTGGGTTTTGAAGAAAGAAAGAAGCCCTGTGAACAAAAGGACCCTCAGCCATGGGAAGGCCACCCAAGGCAGGCAAAATGGAGAACAGAGAAACATGCTCACCTCGGGTGTCTCAGGACAGCCCAGTGGAAATGCAGGAAAGGTACCTGAGAAAAACACCAAGGGGAGGGCTTTGAAAGGGATCAGACAACCCTGCTGAGGGCACTCTGTGCAGGCAGCCTCTCTGATTTAAAAGTAACCGGAAGTTTCCCCAGGGAGAGCTAGTGAAGGGTAAGGTTACCAGCCTCCTGCCTCCCCACCCCAGAGAATACTTGGGAAACCGGTCTTGCTGGCTTCTGTGAGGTCAGAGGGCAGCCTTCCCAGCAGGCTGCCTGGCTCCTGAGGCTGTTGGGGCCGTCCCATCCCAGGGAAACCTGGGCAGGAAGTTTGAGCAGAGACCTGCTCTTGCGTCCCTCCCAATCAATGTGCCATTCCAACCACCCAAATGAATCTGAACCCAGAAGAAACACAAGGTCAGCCAAGCACTCCCTCGGGGCCTTGCAGCGCACACACCTCGGGGCTCAAGCAGCAGTACCTGGTTTCTCACTTGCTGCAACACTTGAAGCTACTGAATTTACATGGAATGAAAGCCCACATTCAGAACTCAGAGCCTGTGTCGCAGATAGGAAACCTGTCCCATCAGATGTTTTTGTTTGACTTTTCTTCTGCCTATGGGCCTTAAAATTTGCCAAGAAAGGTTACAGGGGCTGAGATTTTTGTTTGGAGATGAGAAAGCTCAAGAATGACTTAACTGCATTCTTCAAACACACAGGGGCACTTGTTAGAGGGAGGGCACAGGGAATGGCAGGCTCTTCCCTCTTCAACTGCAAGAAGAGCAGGCTGGAATCCTACAGGGGGCTCTGAGTTCACCTTCAGAGCTCCTTGCCATGAGATCTTAGGACTGCCTACCTTGGAGGGGAAGCCTGGAAGTTTAGAACTTGACATTATTTGAGGGAGGAAGTCCCACATCTGTTTTACAGGAGCCAGTTGGTTCTGCCTGGTGACTGGTGACCAGGACACTGAGTCTGCAGCCTCCCTGCTCCCCTGCCTGTGCCTCTGACCAAGAGCGAGTCCCCTTTCCTCATCTGTGTGGCTGCCAGGGAAGAAAGTCCTCATTTATGGTGTTTTGCTTATGAAGGCCCCAGGCAGAGCTGGGGCTGAGCTGAACTGCTCTGAATGAGGCTGTGAGGATGGGCAGTCCAAGAGTAGGAGAGGCTGGTCCTGGCAGAAGGGATCAGACATAAAATTCCTGGTGGTCTGTGGAGAAAGGACTTTGAATGATGAAAGTGCCTAGTAGGGATTGCTGGCAGTGACAGGAAGCCCTTTGCTCCACACACAAACTCCTCGTACACTGCCAATAGCTAGTACTCCTTGGCATGATGAGGTTCCAGATCTTCCCTTGGGAGTGGGTTTTGGGTGTGGATAGAAGTAGAGGGAAGAGTTTTGTGAAGGGCAGTTCCCTCCCTTAACCGCTGCCACCACTGTGGCCATCTGTACAGGGCTAGTATCGACGGAACCAGCCAGGTAGTCGCTGGGCACCCTCAGGATAGCTCAGGCATCCAGATCTGGTCAGACATCAGCCACTGGCCTCCGACAGGCAAATGAAGAACAAGGATTCTGTTGGCCCTGACTGGGATCGGAAGCCAACCTGCAGCCTGGCATGTGGTAGGAAGGGACTTAGGACGAAAAGCGAAACCCGGACCTCTCTGATGTTAGGTGGGGTTGAGAGTACATTGAGAAAAGACCATTTAAGGTAGAATGTGCAGCCCCAGCTGAGCTCCAGAAAGAGGGATTCTAGATGCCGTGAACCTTTTACACTCTGTACCTGCAACTGCTAGCCAGGACCAGAACAGAGTCCTCAAACACTGGGGTATTGTGATGTAACAAGGACATGTTTAGTTTTCATTCTCTGTTCCTATCAGAGCTTCTGAAACCCCTGGAGTTTCCTGAAGGGTGGGGGTAGAGGAGTGTTTCTTGTTACTCATAATAAAGCACTTTCAACCATACCTGAATCTGTGCTAATGAGGTGACTCACGGTGAGGCCTCTAGGTAGTTTTAGCATGGGGGCTGGTTGCCAGAGGAATCAGCCATGTGTTCAGAGAGTTGGATATTTCAAGTCCACCCTGTAACTTCCAGGGAGGAGAGGGGACTGAAGGACTGAATTAATCATCAACAGCCTAAGATTAAATTCATGATGTCTATATAATGGAACCACCATAAAAACAAAAGAATCTGGAGACCATCTGGGTTGGTGAAGGCATCAACATGCCAGAGGGTGGCAAGCCCCAAACTATCCTCACTACCCTTTAAACCTTACCTACGTCCCTCTAAGCTGGCTGTGCATTTGTATCTTTTATACTGTATTTTGTAATACACCAGTAGCAGTAAATTGTTTCACTGGGCTTTGTGAGTTATTGTAGCAAATTACTGAGCTTGAAGAATGGATCATGGGAACCTCTGATTGTATTCAAATCAGACAGAAGTATGAGTAACTGATGATCTAAAGTGGGGGGAATTTTGTGTAACTGAAACTTCAACTGTGCCAGCCACACTAACTCTGGGTAGTTATTGTTGTCAATCTTGGTTAAAGTTGCAGGACATCTAGTAGGTGCCTGCAGAGAAATGGAGAATTGCTTGGTATGGAGAACCCAAGTGTCAGAGAATTGTGAGCCAAGAAACTTCTTCATTTGTGGTTCATTCTGTGGCACCCTCTCAACTCATCTGCTCCATTTGTTCTGAGAACCAGTGATCCAGTCTCAAAAGTTGCCCCACATCTTTAGTTCCTATGAAGATTCTGTCCCTCCTTCAAAATGCAACTAAATTGCCCTCTGTGCCCACCCCATGAAGTTGTCCAGTTGCAGGAATGAATCTCAGTTCAGTTCCACAGGTATGATCACATTAGGGGCTGATGGCTTTTTATTTGTCTTGTCTTCCCCAATGGAAGTCCCTTAAGGAGGGTACAAAGCTTCATTACTGTTCATTGCAGGAAGACAGAGAGATGTCCCCATGCCCAGCCCCTGCTTGGAGCTCACAGTCCATGGGGCATCCGGATGAGTAGCCAGGGTCAACCCACTGTGGTTGGGTAATATTACTGGAGGCTGCCAGGTTTGGTGGGAGCCTCAACCTGACATTTTAGCATATATTTTTCCAATGTGTGCATTTATCTCACCATCTTCCCCCATGATTTCTGGGAGATTTCTTGTTGCCAGTTCCTCCAATTTCACAAATTCATCAATTTGACCCTCTGACTTTTAGATCTTTGTGGAAGGAACATCTTTCATTCCAGCTTTCCTTCTTTGGAGGGAAGCCCAAAGACAAATCCCCTGACCCATCTCCCGCTTCTTCCATTTGACATTTCCTGGGTGCTGAGGTCAGGCTGCAGCCTCCCTTCCAATGCTTTACCCAGTCACACGTGCCAACTCATTCAACCACGGACAAATGAGAATAATGAGCAAAATGTTCCAAACAGGTGGCGCCTACGTTCTGGACCCACTCTTCCCTCTTGTCCTGCTTCCATTAGCCCCTCCATCCCTGCAATGCCAACACCTACACAGGCTCCCCTTCTGAACAGGTAAAAGGACTTTTGTGTTTTGAGAGGTGTGGAGGAAGACAGCAAAGAACAAACATTTGAGTCATAATCCCTGCCCGCGGCAACAGAAGACCACAGATGTGGTTTCTCTTTAAAGGTTCATATGCTAGACCAGTACTTCCTCGGGCTTTTCTGTCTTAAAGTCTTTCTGGAAAGCCCATTAGTGTGTGATCCTTGAGGTTTTTGTAGAGGTCAGATTTTCCCATCCAAGGCCCTCCAGACCCTGGCCTTTCATTTGGCAATCTCTTCCAAGGTCTCTACTCCTTGTCTTTGAGGAGACCATGCCCTGATCTGCAACTTGGTTTCTTCCAGGGATTTGTGACTGATTCCAGGGTCTTTTTGCTCTGAGCTTGCTTGAAACCTCAGAGGTTGTAATAAGTCACATGGCAAAGGTCTTCTACTGCAATACTGCTGACTCAACACATTCATGGTGGAATTGTGGAATTGTGATGTGCAGGGATTTATTGGAGGTAGCTGGGAAATAAGGTCTCTATTCTCAAAAAAGTGTTTGGTTTAGAGCTCCTCAGAGGAACAAGAGAAGAAAAAGAGGGAAAGAAGTACAAAGTGATACCACTTTGGCCAGATGCTGCCATCTATGTCTTATACCCCAATCACACCTCCCAGTACAGGTGTGCTGCCCTTAGCCCATGGGGTAAGACACATGTAGGTTTCTAGACTGTGGGGCTTCAATGCTCTAATTATGGTTTTCTTTTTTTTCCAAATATAGACGTTTAACTAGAATACTTTTATTTCTTTGTTTGAAATTGGTCTCTTCTAGCAAGTCTCATTGCTCACTCAAGTCCTGGGTGATGACTTCTCTAGTGCTTTCCATTCTGCTCACTGCCTTTAAGGATGGAGATGTTCTGGGAATCAACTCCTCCAGAAATGCTGTTCCCTCCTACCCACCTTTGGCTGGTTGTCTGGTAAGCTTGCTCCACTGGACCCTGCCCCATTGGAAGGCATGGAGCACAGAGGCCAGACAGCCTGGACTCCCTCACCCCCTGCTAGCAAATGCAGCCTTGGCTTATTTGAGGCCCTCCTCATTCAGTTTCTCCTGGTTGCTGGACACGGGCCATGGTACTGCTCTGTGCTCTGTTATCGGGACATCTCAACCCCTTTGACTCACTTCATCCAGTGCTATGGCACTCTGTGTGGGCTGCATTTGCCAGGTCCAGTCCCCCCAAATTGCCTGGGAATCTCACCTGAGTGGAAGGGCTCAATATGTAAAATATTCTTGGCTTAGAATTTGGGGAGGTTGGAGAGGGTTTGTTGGCAGTGACATATATCAGGCATTCAAAGGGAAATTTTGGGTATTTATTATCCACTGCTAAATGGAAAAGTTATCCACTGCTAAACCTTCAAACCAGTGTGCAAAGAAGATCATATTTATTATGTCTGTACATCTGCATATAAACATTATATATATTTGTGTGTGTATATGGGTGTATTTATGCATGTGTATATATTATGTGTATGCATAGATTTGCACACCATTCAGATACATAAACAGAAAAATGACTGGAAAATAATTAACAAAGGGTATGTAACAGG